GGTAACTGTTTACGAGAGTCGAAAACCTCACCTTTCTCCCTCAGAGTGATTGGTGGGTTCAAACTGCTGTGCCTCTGGCTCGCAGCCCAGCTCATAAGTGACAGCACCACCAGGGCTGAGTACCCCTCGGCTCGCTGCCCCTGTGGTGTGGCACATGCTGGGCCCTTCATGGGTCATCTGTCCCATATGACTGCCTAAGGTCCTTCCATCCCGCTCCTGCCAAGTCCCAGCTCAGTGAGCACCCCTGCTGGAGGCCTGCACCCAGGGTCCCTCCCTCGTCAGGGGTGCTGCCCCACAGTGGTTCGCCCAGTGCTTTGGCTGTGCCTGTGCCACATTATCCTGCTGCTGCCAACAGTGCACCGGTGTTCACACCTAGTACCTAAAAGGCGGCTGTCAAATCAATTGCCCCTCCTGGCAGTCTCCCGTGGGTCAGCATGGACCTGTGCCCCACAGGGTTTCCAATCGCTGATGCTGTTTAGGAGCTCGCCAGCTCTGTCTTTATAACACCCCGAAGAGGACCCACGCTGGCAACCTTTCCATTAGCAGCCAAGCAGGTGAACAGTTTTTTTACCACCCAGAGACCCTTGCCTCTTACCGATTCATCTAAAGGTTTCCCGAGGCGAGGATGGTGCCTTATTCTTTTCTGTTTCTCCAGAGCTTAACCCCACCCATTGCACATCCAACACCAAATAAATGCTGGCTGGATTGATAGTTGAATAGAGTCGCCGTGGTGAGAATGAACTCAATGGCAGTTTGTTTTGGTTTGAGTGTTTGAATGAGAGGCCGGGTCTCTTCCGCCTGAGAAACAATGGACGCCTCAAAAGAACCCTTGAGTGGTGTGTACTGGTTGAGGACAGGGAACAGGGGGATTTAGATCTACGCTCTAGTTCAGTGTCATTCATTCCATCAACATCCCATTCCTTATGGACCACTAGAGAGGGTAGCTGTGGGCTTTCAATGTGTGTTAAGGAGCCCAACTGGCCTAGTGTTTAAAGTGAACAATTGGTTACCAACCAGTTCTCAGTTCACATTCAGCATCTGCTCCATGGGACCGAGATGAGGTGGTCTGTTTGGAGACCCTCTGGGACCATTCTGTTCTGCCCTGTACGGTCACTGTGAGCTGGAACCCCATCCACAGAAGTCTGTTGGTTTCTGGCTCGGGGTGTGTGTGTTGCATGCAGCTTCTAGGCACTGTGGCACATCTGAGAAATATCAGGCCTAGCGACAGGCTTTCAGGAAGCTTTTAAGCAAGGGGAGAAGACACATAGGCCTGAAAGTTAGCTATGAGCATAATCCGGCCAATACAAGATGAGGCGCTGGTGATACCATGACTGACCACTCCTGGTGGAGACTGGGGTGGTCTGGGCAGTCTTCACAGGAAGGATGGGCCTGGCTGGAGCCGGTGGTGGGGATCTGGCTGGGTGGAAAGGAGAAGGCTTGTAGTCAGAGGGACCACCGAGTCCTGCGTGAACCAGACTCACTTCAGGAGCCAGGTGGTTGGAATCCTTGTCCCAAATGTCCTTGTTCTGCCCCCAGAAGCCTTTGTGATTGCTTCCTTTTCCCTTCCTCACCTAGAATGGCTTGTCCCCAATTCACATGGCGGCTCAGGGAGACCACCTCGACTGTGTCCGACTTCTATTGCAATACAACGCAGAGATAGATGACATCACACTGGACCACCTGACGCCACTCCACGTGGCAGCCCACTGCGGTCACCACAGAGTGGCCAAGGTCCTTCTGGATAGAGGGGCCAAACCAAACTCCAGAGCCCTGGTGAGTGGGAGGCTGATGGAGAAAGTTTGGAGGGGCCTGGGCAGAGGGAGGCAGGGTGTGAATCCCAAGGGAAGGGCTACATCTCTCCCCTGCTGGTGCCTGCTTATGCTCAGGAGGCAGGACACTACCGATGTAGCTAATAGCTTGCTTTTCACTCACCCTTCCATAGTCTACTCCATTTCTGGCCAGGAGTCCAGTAGCCATGACTCTAGGTAACAGGCTGAGGTCGAAGGTGGTTTGGGTCCAGAGATTGGACTCTGGGTGGCCGTGCCCATGGCATAAATGTGGAGTGAGCCTGGCCTGGAGTTTGAGGGCAAGGGTTTATTAGACTCAGACTGGGTTTTATTCCTGCTTTGGGGCAACTGAGGAGCCTGTTGGTGCTGTGGGTTAAGTGTTAGGCTGCTTACCACAAGATTGGCAGTTCAAACCCACCAGCTGCTCTTGGAGAGAAAGATGAGGCTGCCTACTCCAGTAATGATGGACAGTCTCGGAAACCCTATCTATAGAGAGCGGATGGGAAGTCTGAGAAACCCTACAGAGAGAGAGGGCTGCGTGTGTTGGAATCATGCATTTAGGGTGACTAATTCCCCCGAGACAAACGTGCTTCTTCATGGGGGCCTGACAGTTGACAGTTTCATGACACTGGGAGAGAGGTGAGTTTAGCTCTAAAACAAAGTCCCACCTGTGCCTAGGGCTCTGTGCCCTGTCCCAGGGTCTCCCGGGGCTCTGCGCAGGCAGCCCACGCCCATGACGCCTACCTCCCCGAGGCCACACCCAGAGGAGGGGAGTTGAGGGGTGAGAGATTCTCCGAGGACGGTAGGTGTGACTCATTCGTTCATTCAAAAGAGCCATCGCCAGACTGGCATCTGGGGCCTGAGAAGTCTTCCTTGTGGGGGGCTTCCCTGGGCAAGATCTGTGGCATCATCTGTCCAGCTTCCACCGAGCCCTGGAGGCACAGTGCATTAAGCAGAAGGTCAGCGGGTGGAACTCACGGGCTGTGTCCTTCCATAAAAATGGACAGCCTCGGAACCCTAGGCCCTAGGGGGCAGTTGTCCTCTGTCTTGCCGGCTTGCTATGAGTAGGAATCAACCCGGTGGCAGCGGGTGCCAATAATAGATGCCAACAGTAACCACCCCCACCACACACAAGTGATGAGGCTCAAAAGGTCTCTGAACGTTGCCAGATGTCCCTTACAGGGCAAAATTACCTGCGATTGAAAATCACTGTTTAAAAGTGTATGGAGTAGTAAACTTAGACACACACACACACAAAGATACAAAATCCCTGTCTTCGTGGAGTTTATAGTCAAGTCTCTCACTTCCGAGCAGAGCTGACATACAGAAACCCATTTTGCTAAAATGACCCCTGGTGTCGGGCAAAGAAGGAGTACGGTCTGCTTCGCAAAGGTATCCTGTGACTAGACATTTCCCCCCAAAGGTGACTTAAACAGCAGGCTCGTTGAGAGCGCACGGTGGCAGCTGCCTGCCCTTTACAGGACTTGCTTCACGCTGGTATTTTCTTCTCTGAGAACCCTCCCTAAGAGGCTGTGGCCGAGGTGGTCAGTGGCTGGGCATTCCTTGGGCTAGTGGGTAAGTTCTCTTGCTTGTCTCCCGTCGTGCGGGCTGCAGAATGGCTTCACCCCCTTACACATCGCCTGCAAGAAGAACCACATCCGGGTCATGGAGCTGCTGCTGAAGACCGGAGCCTCCATCGACGCCGTCACCGAGGTAGGAGACTGCTACAGACGAGGGTAGGCTCCTGGCCCCAGATCTTCCTCCAGTAGCGCACGGCTCCCTTGTCTGGGAGGCGGTCCTTGCAGTGAGGCATGCGCACAGCTGCAGGGGTGCATAGTATCCGTGGGAGATCAAAACTGGCCCGCAGACGCGCAAAGGAGTTAACCAGGGGTGACTAAGACAAGGGAGTCTGGGTCACTCTTGGCGAGCGTGCCAAGATCAGATGCGATTTTCTCCAGTGGTCAAAATGGGCAGAACTTGGCCCGCAGTGAGATTCCTCCAACCGCTTTCTGGAAAGCACACGACCTCATTTACCACCTTTTGCGGATAGAACCATCTGTGGAGCCCTAGAGGCACCCTTTGGTCTCGCTGTCTGCCTTCTCTGATGGAGCAGAGAAGAGCTCCTGTCTCACGCCTCGCTTGTGTGTTCCAGTCCGGCCTGACGCCTCTCCACGTGGCTTCCTTCATGGGGCACCTTTCCATCGTGAAGAACCTTCTGCAGCGGGGAGCTTCGCCCAATGTCTCCAACGTGGTGAGTCCTGGGCAGAGCAGGGCTCTGCCTTCCGGGGTAGAGGACAGTGTGCAGCCTAGGGCGAGCTTCAGGCTTGAGGAGACCATCCTTAGAGACTGAGAGTGTCCACATTCAACTTTCCACCGTTGTAAATGTCTGTAATCTTAGGAGGGTTTCACTTGGCACTTCTTTACGTGTTGTCCGGGAATACATGTATGTTGCTTACCATGTGTTAGCACTAAGATTCACTTTATACCTCACACACACACACACACATACATACATTGCACACACACACTGCTTCACCAGACTAGAAGCTGCTCGCTGTGGTAACTCCACCTGTTGGATGAAAACTTGCCAAGATTCTCCAAGCTGGCACTTTGGAGCTCCATGTGTGTCCTTTTGGAAACCCGGCATGCCTCAACCCTTCTATAATTTTGTTATTTTACAGAAAGTGGAGACCCCATTACACATGGCAGCCAGAGCAGGACACACCGAAGTGGCCAAATATTTGCTTCAGAATAAAGCCAAAGTCAATGCCAAGGCCAAGGTGAGTTTCCCAGCTGGGAAGGGAAGGATCCTGGCGTGTAGGTAGTTCAAGTACAACGGGGAGAACCCATCCCCGTTAGAGGGCTGGCCACACTGCTGGTAGCACAGAGATCCTCACTCAGGTGGCACTAAACCCTCAGATCAGTGGGTCAGAGAGCTATGTTGTCCTTTGAATTAGTATGTGTCAGGAGGGGTTAGTCTATTCAAAAGCCCACTGACCATAGACCCTTAGGGCTTCCTAGGCTGTCATCTCCATGGGGGGAAATCACCACATCTCTTCTCTTGTGGAGCTGGTGGGTCCAAACTGCTGACCACTTAACCACTGTCCCACCAGGGATTCTGAGCCTCTGACTAGTTGGGTGGAGCAAACAACTAATTTGAAGGATTAAATAAGGTAGCGGATATTTGATGTCTATAAATCAGCAACCTGATTTGAACCCCAGTTGTTCATCCGACTAGCTGAATGACCTTGTGAAAGTCCTTCTCTGGGCCTCCAGTCCCTTCTCTCTCAATGGAAGAGCTGGATTAGGTCAGTCCCATGCTCCCTGGTCTTTGTTCTTTCTCGCCTGGGGTCCAGGATGACCAGACACCGCTCCACTGTGCAGCTCGCATTGGCCACACACACATGGTGAAGCTCCTGCTGGAGAACAATGCCAACCCCAACCTGGCCACCACCGCCGGGCACACCCCGCTACACATTGCTGCCCGGGAGGGCCATGTGGAGACAGCCCTGGCCCTTCTGGAGAAGGAAGCATCCCAAGCCTGCATGACCAAGGTACAGCCCGCCTCTTGCTACTCTCAGGAAGCCACGGGCTTGTCCCAGCTGGGCTTGTGTGGGCGGGGGTTCCTGAAGCAGCTGGCAGGATGGCCACCCACTAGGTGACATCGGAGATCCGGATGTACTGTTCTCCAGAAACAGTGGTGGACCATGGTGTCTCATGTCCCCACCAGCCATCATCTGCTTCTCGCAGAGCTATGAGTTGGTGAGCACTGCCGTAGCCGGAGCATGGCTAGGTGCTGGGGCTTCATTCGATTCAGACTCAACCCCTGCCCCCAAGATGTTAGCAACCAAATAATACATGTGATGGCTTCGTACTGTATCACAAAACTCCAAAAACCACATTCCCTGCCATCGAGGCAAGGAAACCGCTCATTCCCAAGACCCCTGACCTCTTGAAAAGATGCCACGTCGCTTTGCCTTTTGTTTTGCGTGGCATCTCCGTGCCCCTGAGGGTGGTGAACCTCCTTTGCCATGGGCCCTCTGTCTGGGGAGACAGCAGGGTCTGCCCATCGTCTGAGGGCCTGTGTTTCTCCTCAGAAAGGATTTACCCCTCTCCACGTGGCGGCTAAGTATGGGAAGGGCCGCGTGGCGGAGGTGCTGCTGGAACGGGACGCACATCCAAACGCTGCTGGAAAGGTGAGTCCCCGCGTCCCTCCTGCCCTCAGTTAGAGGGAGGAGCAGAGGCTGACGGTGAGTAGGTGTGGATTTTATCTACGGCATGCGCCTCTTTTTTCTGCCTTTTTCGTGGGCAGCTCTCTCTGGAGAGGGGCCTTTGGAAACACAGATGGTTCTGCCAAAGGCCGTGCTGTTTAGAAAGAGCGGGTAGCCTGGTCCGCGTGCAGGGATGAATCACCCTGTAAGCACAGGCTCACTGGTGTTTGCAAATCTGTAGTGAACAATTTCACCCATAGCACTGAGGAAAGCCAGCAACCGGGTGAGATGGGGCAGACAAACAGCAGGCGATCCTCAAAGCAGACTCTTTGATGCGGTGAGGAAAATTGGAATGGGTTCGCTGCAAGCTGGGAAGAGAGCACACACAGCCTGCACATACCTTACTTCCTGGGTAATCAGCCCTGAGCATGTGTTGATCCTGGACTCCACAGGAAAACTGAGGTTGCCCCAGGTCGGCTGGTTGTGCTTTTTGATTGACTCCAGCTCATGATTGACTCTGGAATTCTTTTTCACCGGACACTGGGAGTTCCATGGTAGAAATCTCACCTTCCATTCCTGGAAGATCCGAGTTTGACTTCTGGTCAACGCAGCCTAATTTAAAAACCAGCCGGTTCTGAAAGCCCCAGGAGTCACCACGATCCAATCCCGTTGCTGGGTTCAGTTGGATGCCTCACCCCAGGGCGGCTCGTGATGCCAAAGGACCCGCAGAAAGCCACCCGGCCGGAGTGAAAGCTGTTCTTTTTGTGTTTTGTCCCCCCTAGAACGGCTTGACCCCGCTGCATGTGGCTGTTCATCACAACAACCTGGACATTGTCAAGCTGCTGCTCCCCCGGGGCGGCTCCCCCCACAGTCCTGCTTGGGTAAGGCCTTTCTGCACTGATGAGATGCTCTCAGAGGGCCGGCCCGGCAGAGGTGGCCGCCTGCCCAGCTCTCCAGGGATGACTGTCTCGGAGGTCGCTGAAGGGTTTTTGTGCTTTATTTCTATTTTGACCTCTGAAATCTCACCTTTCATTCACAAATGTTACCTGCCATCGAAGGCTGCTAGTTGGGGACCAAGAGTGGGCGGAGAAATGGGAAACTCTTCTTAGCAACAGGTTTCCAACCAGGGTGGAAATGCATGGCCAAGGTGGTCCCCCAGAGGCTGCTGGTCATGTGAGTTTTGTAGACTGACAATCAGCGTCCAGCATGCGTAGGAGACTCTCCTGGGGGAGTGGTGAACCCACCAGGGCTCAGAGATTCCAGTTCCCTGGGATTTTCAGAAGACCACCGCCAACAAAAATATCTCATTTTTAAACCAGCTTAGCGCTAGGTGTCTCGGTGCTGGCTGGCAGCCCTGTGAACACAAACATGGATAAATCCGCAGGGCTGCGGGGGTGCGTTCTGGAACCTTGACGCCAGGGCTCTATGTTGAATGGAGAGAACTACCCCAGAAGTCTTTCTTTGATGGCTTCAGAATGTGGTGTTTCGGTGGTTTCTGTTTGGGTTTTCAACGAGGCATTCCCTGGCGAATTCCATGTTGCATCTATGCCCAGTGTGCCAATCTCACATCTGAACGGAGCTGGTTCCCTGCAAGGGCAGCCGGCACATGGAGTGGACAGGCTAGGGCAGCGATCTTGCCAGGCAGTGGGATGAAGGCCAAATGAAACAGCTGGTTTGAGGAAGTAGGCTGCCTCCTGTGGCAGAGTCGAGGTTGCTGAGCCTTGTGGTCCTCCGTGTTCGGTGTAGCGTTTGTAAGGGGCCGGGTGGGAGGTTGCTGGGGTGCTGGGGCGTGGGCACACAGAGAGGCAAGGCGAGGCGAGGAGGTGGGAGAGAGGCGGGAGGCTGAGACATGCAAAAGACACGCGCGTCCGCGCAGTCAATTGGCAGCAGCATCAGTCGCGCCCTTTAGGAAAGAGCGTGTTGAGAAAGGGGGCCCCAGGGGAGGGTGGTGGTGGTGGGGGGGGGGTTTCTAGCTGACACCTGCCGCCTGCCCTATGCGGCAAAAGCATCCACAGCCTGGTTTTTCCCCCTGCTCAAGACGCATGCTCATCCCCGTAGCGGCGCTTTTCTGCAGAGGCAGCACGGCCCAGTGCCGCCCCCCGCCCCTTGTTTCCTGGGGCTTCTGCCTCTGCCTCTGTTGTAGGAAGCCCCGAGTCCCCATGTGGACCGAGAAGAGCTGCCGACTTTACTCCTGCCTCTAAAAATAAAAATTTGGACTCCCCGCCTCCCACAGCCACTCTCCCACTTACATAAAAGCACCCGGAGCCAGGTTCGTGATATTTAAGGAGAGTTAAATCCAAGCACAAACACTGTACAGATGGGCTTTGTTTCCATGGCAAGAAAAAAAAAATTAAGCTTTCCAAAGTCGTCTGGCAATTTTGTAGAATTTCACATGCAAATCTCTCGGCAGCCCAAACCCACCCTCCCCCTCTCCAATGTGGAAGCTGAGCCTGTTTGCACATCCTGGCGGATTCCCTTCAGGCGCGGTCCTTGCTGAGTGAGCTCAGTTTCCTGGGGAAAGGAGAGCCTTTTGCTGGCACACCTCCCTCCCTCCCCAGCCTCTCCCAGACTCTCCCCTTCTTTCACTAGGTAGTTGCCCTTTGTCCTTGTCCCTGACAGAATAGAAGGTCATCCATTTCCTCCACACTTGCTTCTGGGCAGGCGCAGAGGGCAGACGGTGCCCGGAGACAGATGACATGCCCCGCTATCTGGGTTCTCACCCCAACCCCAGCAGTGTCCCGGTCAGGCTTACCCTCGGCCAGGACACCGTGTTGTTCTTGCCAATAGCCACAGCCACAGCTGCCCAGGGGCTCTGGGACTCTTGACACCCTTCCTTGATAGCCTTCAAAGATCTCCATCTCCCGTCAAACCAACCCAGTGGCTCCGAAGGAGAAAGGCCTGGTTAAGATAAGCCAAAACCAAACTCACCGCCATCGAGTCCAGGCCGACTCCTAGTGGCCCTGCAGGACAGGCACCGCCCCTGTTGGTGTCTGAGACTGTCGCTCTGTACAGGACTAGAATAACCCCATCTGTCTCCCTCGGAGTGGCTGGTGGTTTCGAACTTACGGTTCGCAGCCCAACTTATGACCACTCCTGTCGTAAAGATGGCAACCTCGAAAGCCCAATGGGGTGACTCTGCTCTGTCCCTTGGGAACACTGACTCAAAATGGACTTAATCTTCCCCTCCCCCTTCTCCCCACCCCCGGGCAACAACACTGCCCTAGTTGTTCTCAAGTAGTGCATACCCGCTCTGGGCCTGGCACCAGTGCTGTGCGCCACCTGCCCCATCACATCTTGTCCTGACAGCTCCACTGTGATCCCAGTTTGAACAGCTGAACCTCCACTCCCTGCCCCATGTCCCACAGCCCCAGGGGCCACAGCAGGCAGGAACTCAGGTACCAGCTCCGCACCCCCCAACTCCAAATCCCAAGTGTAATCTACACCTTTCGCCTCCCCTCTTTTTTCTTTTTTGGTAAAGTCAAAAATCGTTTGCCTAACTCATTTTATCATCATTAAAATGTCACTCTTGCTATGACAAAATACCCATTTGTAAACTATCAAGGGCTCATGCGGGAGGGGGGAGCGGGGAGGGAGGGGAAAAATGAGGACCTAATGTCGGGGGGTTAAATGGAGAGAAAATGTTTTGAGAAACGATGTACAAATGCGCTTTACACAATTGATGTGTGTATGGATTGGGATAACAGTTGTATGAGCCCCTAATAAAATGTTAAAAATAAATAAATAATTAAAAAAAAAATGTCACTCTTGCTACATGCACACAACTGACAAAGGGGAATTTAATGTTTTCCCGTATTAAAGTTTGAAAGGAGGAACACTAGAAGACTTACATGATCCTTCATAAAGAAGCGTCTTCTATTCAATTTAGTTCTGGGAGTCAATTATAGCTTTTCATTTCCCCATGAAATCTCTTTTACAGACTGATTCTGACATCCCTCCCAGTGCCCTCCAGTGCTCTAAAACTGGAGTGTTTACTCTACTGAGCCTCTTTTGTGCCCCTTCCCCTTTCCTTATCCTGGCAGAATCACAAGTGTCAGTTCTGGGCTACAGAGGGAGAATTCAGTCTTTTGGGGTGACCTGAGGAATCTTTACAACAAAGCACACGTCAAGTAGTTGTCTGTTATGGGACTGGGCAGGGCCTGGGCCCAGAGAGTCCTGCCCCGAAGGTGCTCCCTCCGCCCACAGTGCTCTCAGGCCTTCCCACCCAGACAAACATGGTTTGTGGGCCAGCAGCATCAACTGGGAGCCGGTTAGAATTGCTGAATATCCCTGGGCCCTGAATCCGAATCTGCTGTTTAACAACACCCAGGCGGTGTGTCCGCCAGCGTAGCTCAGTTTACTGTTGCTCACTGTACTGCACCTTTGGATACGGTGAAGGGTTGTGGCGACCCTGAGTCAGGCCAGTCTGTTGGCGCCATTCCTTCCAACAGCATGTGCTCACTGCGTGCCTCCGAGTCCCATTTCGGTAATTCTCACGATATTTCAAACTTTTATTCAAAACAATGCTATTGTCTACTTACTTGACGACTTGCCGGTGCAAACCTAACTTTCATGTGCACCCAGAAACCCAAAAGGAACGCGTGACTCTCTTGATTGCGGTGGTCTGGACATAAATCCGCAGTATCTCCACAATATGCCTATACTCTGCTCTAGAGGAAAGACCCTAGGATTTGGAATCAGATAAGGCATTTATTATGGTTTGTGTCTGAAGGCAAATTCTTAGCATGCTTAGCTGTTAGTGCAAGGTGGAGTCGACCTTGAGAGAAAGGCGTGGCCATCCATTTCTGAAAGCTTAGTCATTGGAACCCTGTGGAGCACAGGTCTCCTCTGACATGCATGGGGTCCCCATACCCAGAAGTGACGTGGCAGTCATGTCGGTGGGGGAAGCATGTTGTTTGGGGAGTGTTGTTACCTGCCTGTCATGGAGTAAGGAGCTTTTCCAGAAGGCAAATCCACACAGTGTTTCCTTCATTGAGAAAGTCTTGCAACCCCCGTATCTTCCACTACACCCCAACTGTCAGCTGAGTAAACAGCTCACAGCGCATAGTTGATTTACTTCTGAGCCAAGCTCCTTACCCTTGTGGTGAACTTATAATGGCTTATGAAGCCTACAGACCGTACTCTTAAACCAAACTCACTGCCATGGGGTCAGTGCTGACGCACAGTGACGCCCCTGTGGGTTCCGAGACTTAACTGTTTATGGGGAGTAGAGAGCCCAGTCTCTCTCCCTCAGAGCTGCTGGTGGATTTGAACTGCCGACTATCGGGATCGCAGCCCAACACATAACCACTACACCACCAGGGCCTAGACCATACTCTGGGCAGCACTTTAAAACCATGATGCCAATGTTTATTATTTTTTATACCTTAGTTTTGGAAAGTACTTTCATATAAATTATTGCACTTCATTTGGTGCAAAATTATTTTGATGCACACCAACAGTTTTGAGAAATGAACAAGTAGGTGTTACTGTACACTTTTAAGAGAATTTTTAAACAGTGGGGGTGCAGGGCACCAAGACCGTGGAAGAGCTTGCTCCAGGTCACATCACTGGTTAAGCAAGAGTGAAACTAGGCCTGGTTCCCATGTCCGCGGGTCCGAGGCTCAGTGCCTACTCTTCTATGCCATACTGCCTCCCTGCAAGCCGGCCCAGGGGCAGCTCTTGGCCCAGTTGCACAGGCAAAGAAAAGGAGCTATTGCTCACTTCCCTCCATGCTATCACTGCATTTGGGGGTGCCATGGCGAATTGCACTGGCTGCTAACAGCAAGGTGAGCAGTTCGAGGGAGAGGGATTCGACTTTCTGTTCCCATGAAGATTCTCGCTTCGGAAACCTACAGGGGCAATTCGGCTCCATCCCATATGGTAGCTAGGAATTGAATTGACTGGATGCCAGGGAGTCTGCGCTTTGTTGAATGACTGTCATTCACGTTCCTGCCTCACCTTCTGTTGGTCCATAGGCTGCCTAATGGAATCTTGGCTTTTCTTGACAGAGTGCTTCCCACCCAGCCGTTTGTCCAAGTGTGATAACAGAAAATAGATTGCTTGAGAAAGAAAGAAAAAGGGGAACAAGACATTTGCGGACTATGGGAGCCTTGAGAGTTGTCTCCCAATCCAGTGAAACGGATTTGTTTGTTGACCTAAATTGCTCTCCAGGGTGATCCCAGCCCTGCCCAGTGGGGTCCAGGCAGACGATTTCAAATGAAGGCGTCCGCCCCTGTGGTGAGCTCAGCATCCCCGTAAGCAGGGTGGCTTCTTCTCTTCCAGAATGGCTACACCCCTTTGCACATCGCTGCCAAGCAGAACCAGATGGAGGTTGCCCGCAGTCTGCTGCAGTATGGGGGGTCAGCCAATGCAGAGTCGGTGCAAGGAGTGACACCCCTCCACCTGGCCGCCCAGGAGGGTCACGCGGAGATGGTGGCTCTGCTCCTCTCCAAACAAGCCAACGGCAACCTGGGAAACAAGGTAAACGTGGCATCTTCCTGTTGTCCCGGAGTCTCAGTGATGTGCAGATATTGGCTAATGTGTAGTCTGGGTAGACTAGAGAAACAAATACAGGGAGACTCATATGTGTATCAGAAAGAGCTTTCTATACAAGAGCAATTGAGTATTGAGAAAACATCCCAGCCCAGTCCAGATCAAGTCCGTAAGTCCAATATTAGCCCATATGTCCAATACCAATCTGTAAAGTCCTCTTTAGACTCACGCAACACATGCAATGACACCAAGTGCAGGAAGATCACAGGCCAGTGGGTGGAAAGTCTTGTGGATCCAGTGGCAGTGGAAGCATCTCAGTGTTGGCAGGGGTCTTCACGTGACTCCTTCGTCTCCAGGGCTTTAGCATAGCTCCTTGTGTCTTATCTGCCGGAATGTCTCATAGGGAGTGAGTGTGTGGCCCACCTCCAGTGAGCTATTTATCTCCTTAGCCCCTCCAAATGAGGTCATCAAGCTGCCACCTGATTGACAGGCTAAACTCGACCCCTTCACTCTTAAGTCTCAAATTGACAACATATTATGTAACTACTACAGTTCACTAGATAAACTACCTGAGTATTTAGCCCCTACTGTGAACCCAAGTTCCAAGGGCTAGGGAATGATGGGTGTGTGCGAGCATGTGTGATTGTATGTAGCCCCTCCAGCAATGGTGTGTACAGTTCATCTCAGGTGTATCAAGAAGGGAACTGAGTCTCAAGGTGACGTCATCCAGTCTGCTCAGTGATATATCATAGGAGGGACCACAAGCCCATCTGATGCCAAAGCCTTAGTGGCTTCTTCTACACCATTCTGTCTTCCCCAAGAATCTGCAAAGAATTTCAATACTAAATGCTCCAAGACATCTTTCCATATATAGGCCAGGCTCTGTCTTCAAGAATGTGTTAAATTATTTGAGGCAAGAAAATAATTTTCTGTGAAAGGAGGTTTTTTTAAAATTTCTGACCTACTTCAAAGGATGTCATCAGTGTCCTTGCACTGAACATGTAAGACCGGCTGGGTCGGTGTGTTTGGCTGTTATAGTCTCAGCAAGAACAGCAAAACACTATTTTTAAAAATCTATCACAACTGACACATATGAGATGAGGAGTTCGTTTTCAGCCGGGGACCATGAGCATGAAACTTCCTAAAACAGTGTGTGCTGTTTGGGGAGGATGGGCAGGTGAGCATTTCTCTGAGTGAAATGTTTATAGTTTCTCATCAGCTTCTACAAGGAATGGGTAGCTCAGGTAGAGCACCAGGGAGAGAAGGCTTTCCCAGTGTTTGTGTTGTAGCACCTCCGTAGATGACAAGATCTCTAACAGAATGACCTTCCCCTGAGCAAGCTGTAGCAAGAAGTCCAAGCATCTCGTCTTTTCCTGCCCAGCAGGACCTTCCATCCCCTGGGCTCTGATGTGATGAATAAGATGCTTCGTTTAAACGGTGCACAGACAGGGCGTCTAAGTGCAGGATCTCAACTCCTTTCCTTTGCCTGTAAGAGAGATCTGTGATCATCTCCATTTTCTAGATCAAGAACCCAGTGTCCTGCAGGTCACCTAAAACCACGAAAGCAGGGACTGTTACAGTTGGAAGGTGCATTATACTTTATCGAATGGAAACCCTAGGTGGATATCCGGCCCTTCATCTGTTTGTGTAAATAAGGTTTTATTGGAACACAGTCACGACCGTTGTGTGCTGGCCCTGTTTTCTCATTACCTCGAGAGGGCTGGAGAGGGCAACGGAGGCCTGAGACTGAAAGTATTGACTGCCTGGCCCTTGACTGACAAAGTTGCTGACTCCTGCTCTAGTGGAAGCATCGTTTTCGATAAGGATATTCGATAAGGCCCAGAGGAGGCAGACTTGCTCCCAGGGGGTTGCCGAGCGAGGTTCCTTTCCTTGGGAGCTCTTGTTGGGTCCTGGAACTGGAGTGCTGCATGAGAGAGCCAAGTGACGCACATCTCTTTCTTTCCAGAGTGGACTCACCCCGCTCCATCTCGTCGCACAAGAAGGCCACGTTCCAGTGGCAGACGTGCTGATCAGACACGGAGTCACCGTGGATGCCACCACCCGGGTAAGGCAGGCAGCCTCCCTCTTTGTCAGCCTGGGTGTTCGGGTCCCCCCTGCCCCTCCCCAGGGGCCACGCCCCTCGCCCTTCAGAGTGCTCTCTCCCGTGGATCCTTTCTTCGATGGCCACAGCGCTCTGCTGGGAGTCATTTGCAAAGTGTCTCGGTCCGTTGTGCGTAGTAGGGCGGGTGTCAGTCGGAACCCACTCACCGGCTGCGTCCAATGGTCTCCCTTTCCCGCTGGAGAGTTTAAACCGCTTGCTAGACCTTTGAGCCCATGTGGCGGGACACCGAGGGGAGGGGCCCTCTGAAGGCGACTGAAAGATCTTACCTCAGTAATGTCAAAATTACTGTTAGACGTCTCTGGATGCACGCGAAATTCAGCCCCTGTTGCTTAAGGCTCCGGCTACATTCAGCGAGCCTCCTGGGTGTGCACAGGGCCCGGTGAGGGAGGCGGTGTGAGGATAGCCGTGTGGCACCCCCCTCGGTGGTTCCTGCCTTCCAGCGAGGCCTTCGCAGCTTCGTGGGATGGAGACTGAGAGACAGGCGTGAACAAGGGGTACCTGGTGCAAGAGGCTAACCGCTGTGTCCCCTGGGAGCACAGAGAGAGGACAGTGTGTCCATCCGATAGGAGGAGGGAAGGGGTCCAGGAAGCAGCCTTGTCACTGGGAGGCAACGGCAAGAGTGTCCTGAAAGGGAGGGGGAGATTGTTTGGAAGAGGCTCCCTGAGGAGAGAACTAGATACTGTTTTCATCCCTTAATGTCGGCAGTTTTGATGGGAATCAGCTCGGATTCTGAGAATGTGCTGGGTCTTTGAGGCTTCTCCAGGGAAAGGGGGTGGGGGGGACTCATTTACAGTTTACTCTTTGGGGGTTGTGACCCTGGAAGACCAGACACAGGGTGTCAGCACTGCCCAGAGTGCCCCAGAGCCATCCTGCTTGCTGGTGAAGGTCCAGCTGCAGAATCTGACAGAAGCCCCCCACTTCCCGGGGGGTGGGGATACTTTCCACCCGAGAGTGTCGAGAGTCTTGGCTTGCTCCATCCCGGGGACCAGCACAGGATCAAACAGGACAGATTGCTGAAAAATCAGCTCCTTAGAAGAATGACTCTCGTCCCTGGAAGTTTGATCGCACTGCATACAGCTAAGTGACGCAAGCCATCTTTTGATGTTTTCAACCCCGGCATTTCAGGAAGCCAGGGCAGCACGGAGGGTTAAGTACCTAGCTGCCAACCAAAAAGTTGGTGGCTTAGCCACTCCACAGGAGGAAAGGCCTGGCGATCCACTCCCCTAAAGGTGAATGCCAAGGAGACCCCACGAAGTGGTTCTCCTCGATCCCATTGGGTGGCTGTGAATCGGAATAGACTTCAGGGCACCCAAACCAATAGTGTCTGCTGTTTCCAGTGTCCTGAGCCTGGCTCTTCTTGGGATCAGGACCGATCCGCCATGTGACCGTCAGACCTCATCTCAGCCTGCTCCGCCAGCGGGGCTCTCACTCTTCCCTCCTTCTTGAGAAGGTCTCCTTCGACTTCCGCAGCATGGCCTCTCCTGGTTTCCCTCCCACCTCTCTGGGGCACCGACTCGCCGTATGTAGGGAGTTCTAAGTGTCCTCTTAAGCCCCGGTGACACAGGGGTAACGCGTCCGGCTGACAACCACAAGAGCGACACTTGAAGCCACCAGCCGCTCCGTGGGAGAAAGATGAAGTTTTCCTTCATAAAACGTGCCAGCCCCAGAAACCCACAGGGGCAGTTTTGCCCTGTCCTATGAGGGCCTATGAGCCAAAATCCACTCGACGGCAGAGAGAGCGAGAAAGTATTGCTTCACACAGAAGAGAGAGGACGCCATCTGCTCCCATGAAGATGGGCAGCCTTGGAAACCGGAAGGCGTTTCTACTGTGGCCTGGAGTGTTGCTCAGAGTCAGCCTCGACTTGATGGCAGTACTTGGGCAGTTCTTCTGTCTTCACTCTGTCCCAGGTAGCCTCACTCGTCTCCAAGGCTTTGAGCTCTTCCTGGGCTGGTAGTTCCCAGATTGACGCGTCTAGCGTAGACATCGCAAGTGTCACTTGCCTGGAGCTGAACCCGGTACCATCTCGGGCCCATGGCGTCTGCCGGTAGCAGCAATATGGCTTACACTTGATAGCACCGGTGAGCCGTCCACTCTCCCTCTCAGTCGAGTATTTTGCCAGGATTTCATTATGCACAGTCCACAGACACTCTTGTTCTGCCCTGAAGCCCTGGTAGGCGCCCATGCTCACCCCTTGTCTTTCAGATGGGTTACACGCCACTCCATGTGGCCAGTCATTACGGCAATATCAAGCTGGTGAAGTTCCTGCTCCAGCACCAGGCCGACGTTAATGCCAAGACCAAGGTACAGGGGGACCGTAGAGCTGACCTTAGGGCGATGCTTCTTCAGCGCCAAATTAGAATGCAGCCAGAAGCTCTCCTGGGCACACTGGGCCCTGCCCATGTTCAACTTTGATCTTGAAAGAGGAAAGATGGGGACCGTGTTTCTGCTTTGCTGCTTTTGCTGTGTGGGGTAGAAGGATGAGCACTCGCTAGCGTGTGGGGAGTTCCTTCTCTAACCTTACCAAACGCCCACCTCACTTTGTAGCTAGGATACAGCCCCCTGCACCAGGCAGCCCAACAAGGACACACCGACATTGTGACGCTTCTTCTGAAAAACGGTGCTTCCCCAAACGAGGTCAGCTCGGTGAGTATCCACTGCCTTTCTGACTTCAGGACACTGATCTCCCCGGGCAGCCTGGGAGACTGCCATTAACAGGGAGCACTCGCTCTTTTCTTTAATCATGTTACTGGGGGCTCTTATAGCTCTTATAACAATCCATACATCAGTGTATCAGTCACATTTGTGCATAGGTTGCCATCATCATTTTCAAAAAATTCTCTCTCTATTTGAGCCCTTGGTATCAGCTCCTCTTTTTTCCCTCCTTCCCCCATCCTCCCTCACTCATGGACCCTTGATAAATGATAAATTATTATTATTTTCATATATTACACCAAACATTGTTTCCCCTCATCCATGTTATATACCGATCATTGACATCAGTTCCCCCTTTCTCCTTCTCCTCCCCGCACCTTCCCCTTCCCCTCCTGGTATCGCAACTCTCATTATTGGTCCTGTGAGGTTTATTTGTCCTGGATTCTGTGTGTCGAGAGCTCTTATCTGTACCCATGTACATGCTCTGTTCTAGGTGAATTTGTAAGGTAGAACTGGGGTCATGATAGTGGGGGGTGGGGAGCATTATAAAGCTAGAGGAATGTTTTGCATTTCGTCGTGCTATACTGCACCCTGGCTGGCTTGTCCCTTCCTTGTGACCCTTCTGTGATGGGATGTCCAATGGTCTACAGATGGGCTTTGGGTCTCCTCTCTTGGAGCAGTCACTCCTATGGTGTTGTGTCTGAGACCTGCCTGGGCAGGTTACTTCAAGACATGTGGTGATCAGTTTTCTCTCTGGTTAGCTGAAGGTTCCCCTTGGGACCGCCGTTTATTTACCTTCCTGTCGAATCCCGTCCCACCTCTGTGCGGTGGCATCCACTGTGGTACAAGTGAACACAAGCAAGTAAAAGTCTTGGCCGGTCACGATCTTCCTGGGCTTCAGGATGGTCCTCGCCAACATCAGTCATCATAGTGCAGTGTGCACTTGCCCATTTCACGCATGGAGGCTTTATGAGCTTATGTCCACAGCTGCTTCCAGCCTTGAAGGCATGTATGTAGACCCTGCTCGTAGATGTGATTGGTGAAATTCTAACCTCGCCCCGGGCTGAAACTGTTGGGAGTCTGAGACATATCCTAGCACTAGAGAACCTAAAAAATAAAAGAAAGAAAAGGCTCCTATCAATTCATTTTGGGTTAGCACTGTCTCTTAGCCACTTCCTGTCTGTCCATGTTTGGCACCGAGATGGCTGCGTGCTGCTGGGATGCTGGAGATTCTACCCTTCTGGTCAGAAGGCACTCGGAATACGCCTGGGGGAGAGCTGCCTGCTCAAAGTGGAGTCAGCCTTAATGACGCGGACGGAGCAGAGCGTGGGGGACCTTCGTTTGCTGGTGCAGCTCAGCTCAACGTGAGAAGAAGCAGCTGCAAATGTCCTTTCCTTATCAGAATGTGGGATGTACAAAGTATGAATAAAGAAAATTTTAGAAGTCATCAAAATCGGAATGGAACACGTAATGATGGATATTGTAAGCATCAGTGATCCCAAATGTACTGTTATTGGACATTTTCAATCATAACATCATGTCCTGCTCTCTGTCAAGAATGGCAAATTGAAAAGGAATAGCGTTGCCTTCATCGGCAAAAAGAACATGTCAAGATCTGTCCCGAAGTGTGAGGCTGTCTGTCAGTGATAGGGCCATCCTCCTACAAGGAAGACCGGTTAATACAGCTGTGATTCAAAATTCCACACCGACCACTTCTGCCCAAAATGAAGGAATTGAAGATTTTGACCAATGTGCACACTCTGAAGTTGATCAACTATGAGATCAAGATGCAGCGATCATTTGCTGACAATTGGAATGTGAAAGTTAGAAGCAAAGACGTCTCCATGGGGAGATATGTCGTCTATAGCAGTAGAGGGGCTCTGGAGATCACATGACGGAACGTTGCAAGACAACAATTCCTCCATCGCAAAATGCCTTGTTTCAACAGCATACGCAGCAACCCTATACTTGGACCTTGCCGGATGGAATGCACAGCAATCCACCCGACCACCTCTGTGGGGATCAGGTGATGGAGAAGCTCAGTATCATCAGCCAGAGACGAGCCTGAGAGGGACTGTGGGACAGACAATCAGTTGCTCGATCGATTGCAAGTTCAAGTTCAAGCTGAGGAAAATGAAAACAAATCTAGGAGAGCCAAAGTATGACATCGAGACATGGATTAGATCCCCCTGAATGTAGAGACCACTCAAGAACAGAGTAGTCACATTGAACACTAACGACAGAAGACCTGATGAACTGTGGGGGGACACTGAGACCATCATTCACGAAGAAAGCAAAAAGTCATTAAACAGATAAGAAAGAAAGCTGAAAATGGACATCAGAAGAGACTCTGAAACTTGCTCTTGAACACAGAGTAGCTAAAGCTAATGGAAGGAATGGTGACATAAAAGACCCAAACAGAAAATGTCAAAGGGAGTCTTGTAAAGACAAAATAATGTATTATCATGAAGTGGGCAAAAACCTGGAGTCAGAAAAGGAAGAACACGTTCCGTACTTCTCAGGCTGAAAGAACTGGGAAAAAACTCAAGCCTGGGATTGTAATATTGAAGGATTCTAGCTATATTCAGTAATGCAGGAAGCATCAAAAGGAAATCGAAGAACTACCTGGATGCACTGTACATAAGTGAATTGGTCAGGGTGCGACGACGATTTTAGGAGGAAGCCCATGATCTAGAACTGATGGTATTGAAAGAAGTCCCAGCTGTAGTGAAGGCCCTGGCCCAAACCAAGGCTCCAGGAATTCATGGAAGACTAATTGAGATAGGTCAACAAATTGATGCAACACTAGACATAGCTAAGACATTGGAAGACAAACATTGACTTCCTGGCCCACGCTTTCCTTCTTGGCACTTCTCTACCTTTGCTGATATGATTTCCCGGGCTCTCGTTCCAAGGCTGCCATACTCAATGCTGCAGACTGAAATACCCATGCCCTTCTCTTGTACCCCTTGCCTTTCTAGGCCCTGCTGCCAGCACAAAGCTAGGTGCACACGTGTGCAGGGGCCGTGCTCTGGGCTCCAAATCAGAGTCTATCCAGTAGGCCTTTTGAGCAATTAGAAGGTGGGCTTGTCCATGCGCAAGAAGGATAGTTGCTTGCCAGATGGGATTGCTTTGTTTAATCCCATCCTGTCTCCACTCTTCTTCCTAGAATGGAACTACACCTCTGGCTATAGCCAAGCGCCTCGGCTACATTTCTGTGACCGACGTGCTCAAGGTCGTCACGGATGAAACCAGTGTGGTGGTATGTTGGCTTCTCCCCCACATGACTCTCCCAAACACCCAGCTAGACTGGCAAGGTGCCCCTCTTGGTTAACCTCCCCATAGGGAGTGGGGAAGGTTGTTTTCCAACCAGCAGGTGATGTTGGACTGCCACCTAGTGGTCTGAGACTGGTCCATAGTGGGCAGCAGCAAAACGGGGTTTGAAGAAGAGAGGAGGGGATGGGAAGTTGGAATTTCCGGAGCATCCTCCCCGTGGCTCTTGCCATCGAGCCAGTTCTGGGCTGAGAGCCTCTTAGCTTTGAGTTTCTTCATCTGGGATAAATCTTTTTGTCCATCTCCTCTCCACAGTCTCCACAGTGGTGGCCAGGTACCTGCTGGGGGGTGTAAAGGGTCAGGGCTGTGGTTGGGTTGACGCTCTGTGTTTTTCTCATTGTAGTTAGTCAGTGACAAGCACCGGATGAGTTTCCCCGAGACAGTAGATGAGATTCTGGATGTCTCGGAAGATGAAGGTAAATCTGGGGTCTGGAGTTCAGGCTGACTGACGGATAAGCCGGGGCTCTCTCTGCGCACCCACCGAGTGGCGTCCTGGAACTCCCGTCTGCACCCCAGGGTTCTCCTGGCACGTCCAAGGTCTACAGACCTGAACGGCGCCCCATTGTAACACCTGTCTGTTATCAAAAATTAGGCGACTTTGCCTCTCCGGTTAAAATGTAAAATCCCGTGAAGCTTCACAAGGAGCGTGGTGGTGCCGTGTCTTTGCCGTGTGAATCAGACTGCAATGCAGTCCTGCTTCTCCCATCCCTCGTCAGGGTTGTGAGGAGCTGCAGAAACCCCGCTGGTGCTTCCTTTGAGCTTTGTTCACACGAGTAACAAAGCGATGCTTTAAACTCCGTGGGAATCTTTTTTTTAATAAGTTGACCTTCTGGCCGCAGTGTGGGGTGTCCCTATTGTTATGGCAGGAAAGGGGCCCGAGTGGCGTCCTGGGTTGTAATTCTGTTCCCGTGAAGACTGACAGCCTCAGAAAGCCCCAGGGGGGTTCTACTCTCTCCTCGGGCCTCCCTGTGAGTCAGAACAGGCTCCACGGCGGTTCGTTTTGTTTCGCTTTGTCTCTGCTCCTTGTGTTGGAATGTTTCCGCTTCCGTACACACAAAGTTCAGTAGTTTCCCTGCCCCAAACAGGCTTTATTTTCTTGCTTCAGTTTGAAGGGGACCCTCTCGGCGTCAAATGGTGAGGTTGGACTGGATCTTCTCAAGGGCCCGTTCTGTCTCTGTAGTTCAGTGTCAAATGATGAAAGGTCACCTTGATAATATGCCTCTGACTTTACCTGACTTCAGACCTGTCCTTTCCTTAAACTTGGCTCTTCTTTGCTTTCCAGGCACTGCTCACATAACTATCATGGGTATGAAACGCTTTCTGTTCCCTGTGGTCCTTTCTCACCAGCGTGCATTTCACCCTAAGCAACCCAGCTCTCACTAATCCATTCCTGCTTTCTACCCTCCTCTGATGGCTAAGCCTGTGGGGAGCCCGGCGCTGCCTTACAAGTAGAACATTTACAACCATAAGATCCGTGTTCCTGGCAGGCTGTTCCTGCCTGTCCATCTCTGTGTTCGTGCCCATTCCACGGTGTTTGTGACGATAACTGCATGAGCTGTCGTTGTTCCATTCTGTCAACTCTGGACCACCACAAAACCAGAGCACTCACTGCTAAGTGACATTGAATGACACTGCAAGGTCAAGGGCCAGAGCGCCCGCTCCAGTTCGTGCAGGGAGAGAGACAAAGGCAGTCCAGGTTGCAGACAGCCGGTTCACCCGAAATCTGAACCCGTTTGTAATGGGTTTAGGAAACAGTGAAGTTTCAGCAGTCATGGTGGGGGTGGCGAGGAGGGGGGACCCTACAGCCCTTCAAATGGAATGGTTTTTGTTCCATGCGATGATGCATTGAAATGGGATCCTCCAGGTCTGTAGTTCAAAACAACCGGTGGATCAGAGGCAGAAAACCAGGGCTTTCTGCTCCTGTAAAGAGTGACATCGCAGAAACCCACAGGGGCAGTTCCACCCTGTCCTGTGGGGTCACCGTGAGTCGGAAGCACCTCTGTGGCCATGAGGGAGAGTTCCGTTACAGTTAGTCCTTGTCTGCTATGCCCAGCAGCAGTAACGGCTTTCTTTGGTGCTT